TACATTGTAGCCAACTAGTATCTTGTTAGAACACTGGAAATTAGACTAAGCGAACATCAACATAGTCTCCACCTACAATTAGAATCATTCTATTGCTACAACAAAGAGTAGGCCTGAAAACAAACTCATAACTATTTATGTTAAATATTGAATCTTAGAACTTTCCCCTTGTTCAAGGATAAATAATTGCCAGTGAAATCATACTGTTGTCATAAAAGTAGAGGTAGACTCAGAGAAAAAAAATGCCTGTGAAAATTGTATAAAGCATTTGCTTTGCAATGTATGAAAAAGAAGTTCAAAGTTATAAGGAAAGAATAATTTGAAGTCAAAGGAAGAATTACTAGAAAATTTAAAATGTAGAGTCTGAAATAAAATCTATATTAAAAGCAGTAGAGAGCAGAATTAACAATACTGAAAATCTCATCAATGATCTATAGGGTATATCTGAGAAGTTCTGGTGTAGAAAATAAAAAGAACTGTTCTAAAGGAAAAGATAATACGTAAAGGGCTAGAAAGTGGAGGGGACAGATATGCAGAACAAACGGAAGTCTAAAAGAAGAGGAGATACGTCAAAAGATTTGAATGTAACAGAATTCATACCATGTTTTTGGATGAAAAACAAGAAAATGTGACTTCAAAGGTATAATGGAAAATAATTCTATTTGAATATTTGCTCAATTAGGAAAATATTGAGTTATTTTCATAAAACTTAACACCTTATTTATGCAAGTTAAAAAGGTTCACATTCCAGTAAATTGATAAAAATAATTTTGCAAATAGACTTTGGAAGGACCTATTTTTTTAATTACAAGAATAAAGAAAAAGACTTTTAATCATTCTCTTTAGCACTGTAAAAATGGTTTAATATTAGTGGCCATATTAATGTGTCACATTAATATACCAAAGGAGAAAATAATCATATCTTAAAATATGAGATTCTAAAAAGCCATTTGATAACATTCAGCAGCCATGTGTGATTTTTTTAAAAAGCAAGTCTTAAAAAACTATTAAGTGCTCGCTTCGGCAGCACATATACTAAAATTGGAACAAAACAGAAGATTAGCATGGCCTCTGTGCAAGGATGACACACAAATTCATGAAGTGTTCCATATTTTTATTAAATCTTGCAAAAAAAACTTAATAAGAACATACTATATGACAAACATAATTTTGTTATAGATGTTTTAAACAAGGAAATACAATGAGAGAAAAGCAATAAATATAATATTGAAAAAGAAAAGACATTAATTTGAACATAATATGACTTTTGCATTAAAGATACAGGAGTTAACAGAAGGGCCTTGAGTATTATGAGAGCAGAAGTAGAAAGATACAATGTATCCTTCCATGGCTTTTCTCTCATTCTTTTTTTTCTAAATGGAGGCAGGATCTGTTAAAGTAGATAAAGATGTTGATTTTTTATTCTGACTCTGCCATTTTACTGGGAGTATACCTCCATTCCAGAAGAAAAGTACTTCAACAATCTATATGTTTGCAGCTAAAGGAAGTTTTATAAACATCCTCTTGGTTTTTGAAATAAGGTCGTCACTATCAAGACCATATTGTCCTTGGGTTTAGGGAAGAAAGCAGAGACAATGCCCATTTATGGCTCAGTGTCCTGGAAGCTCAGATATGACAAATATCTCAGAGAAGCTGACGCTTTCAAAATTGGTAAATATCTCGTAAAAATGTCCAGATTCACAATAAAAATGTAAAACTCAATGTTTTTCTTATCCTAGCAATAATTACTTAGGTGATACTAATCAGAGAAAACTATCTGCACTAGGTCTAATCTTAAAAAGAAAAACATGGCTTTATAGATAGAAAAATAAATTTCACTATGAAATAGAAAACAAAACATGAATAAATGGAGAGACGAGCATGTTTCTGAAAGGCAATATTCATAGTATAAGAAGTTATTTCTCCTGAAACTAATTTTTGTCTAAAATTTGCAAAATAATCCTAAAGTTCACTAAGAACAAAATATATGAGAATAAGTAAATTCTGAAAACAGTAAATTAGAACCATTTTCTCCTACCGTATGTAAAAGTTACTACAAAATTGCAATGAGTAAATGGATCACTGTGTGAGGATGACAGGCAGGTGCGTCTGGTGGGTAGATGGTGGTAGACAGGACCGTAGCATGTATGTGAAAGTAACGTAAAGATGAATGGAAATCAGAGAATGATTAGACTGTCAAGTGACTGGGTAAGAGGAAATCAAGGAAAAACATCATGCATGAACACAAAGTTTGTTGATTTTTTTTCTGTATCCTTTTTCCAATTTTTTTGAATAAACATGGGGGAAGTTTTAAACTATTCCTAAGACATACTTCAAAAGCTCATTCAGTATAGAGATTAAAGCACTGAAACAGTCTTAAGAGCTCTGAGGTCTAAGCCTGCTTCTGTTTCTAGTTTTATCACCTTTTATCACTGAGAATATTGGGCATGGGGCTTAAATTTTAAGATGAGAGATTTGAATTTTATTTTTTCCAATTTTCTATCCAAGTCTAAATTCTGTATTAAGTATAATAGATCAAATCTAATTACCATACATAACAACATCTGTCTAGGAGATAGGAACATGAAATTTGGAGTCAGACTGCCTACATTCTAGCCTTGGTTCCAACACTCGCTTAGGAAAGTTTTTTATCCTTTATGTATTTTACTTTCCTCAACTGAAAATAAACCTAGGGTAATGATAACCCCCTAGGCTTGTTGTAAGAAATAAAGCAATGCATGTGGATGCTTAGAACGATGTCTGGCATATACTTTCTTAGTAATGTTATTATTTTCCAATTTGAGGTGCCAGGAGCATAATCCCACCACCCCCAACTCATGCTCAAGCATAATGCAATAGAGGACTTCACCCTAACTTTTTTGGAGGAAATTCTGTTCTGGTTGATAGGAGAGGGATCCTGTGGGTAGATAATTCTATCCACTGTCTTTTCTTTTTCCTCCTGATTCTAAAGAAACACTATCAGGGTCTTTGAAATAGACTAGCAGTTCCCAAAACTCTTCAACACATGTTTTTCAACATTTTTTATCTCATTGCATGCATGAATCTATAGTTAAAACTTATGTGCCACACTGAAATTATGTTGATCAAGAAAAAAAATATACTAACTGTACTTTGAACTTCTTTTGAAAAGAATTCAATTAATGATCTTTAAAAAATGGGGAGGTGGGGGCAGGGTCACTTCCAAGATCCTCTCAGGGCACACCAGTAGGCCGCAGCACACGAGGCTGAAAATCACTGCTGTGGCAGATGAGTAACACGGGGCACGTTCCTTCAAGACTGATAACACTCGGTGAAAGAAAAACATTCTATTGCAGTTTGTGTCATAGTTAAACTTAGGTGCATAGGGGATGAATTTGAATTTTTTTTCTCAATAGTTCTATCTGTTAATATTCCCAGAACACTTTCCCATTAATACAGTTTGGAAGTGTTAGATAAAAGTATCTAACACAAAATTAGGTACCAATACTGTTTTATAGCCAGAGTTTGGTAAAAGTCCAGTCAAAATTGAATTCAACTAAGTATTTCATTTTCCAGTTATACTCTACTGATTTTTAAGTTGCTGTGTTCATTAATGGCCATCCATTATCAGTTCTTTTGTGATTTTTCAGTTGATCCTAAGCTCTCTAAAATCTGATTGCCCCAGTCCAAATTATCTGCTATTGGCATTTACTTTTATTACCATTATTATAACTAGAGTTTGATTACCTTGACACTTCCATATGTATCTCCTTAGAAAAGAGTACATCCTGAAGTTTCTCCTAAAGTCTAAAAAACTGTTACACAACTTTTTTAATAATCAAAATTATAAGTTAAAAGACTTTTCCATATTCAATTCCACCTTTTCAGTTCAACTGGAAGGAAAGCTAAAATCCACTCATGGTTGCTAATGACAGGTCTTATTTTGCTTTAATCCCTCGTCAAATATCTTCCACATTTCCTAAAATACCCAGGCTGCCCTTAATATGTTTTCATAACTACCCAGAGCAAGGCACAAATTCTATGACAAGAGTTTGGATAAAAGAAAGGGTCATGGCCAGGCGCGGTGGCTCACCCTATAATCCCAGCAATCTGGGAGGCTGAGGCAGGTGGATTGCTTGAGCTCAGAAGTTTGAGACCAGCCTGAACAAGAGCAAGACCCCATCTCTAAAAATAGCCGGGTGTTGTGGCAGGTGCCTGTAGTCCCAGCTACTTGGGACAGGAGAATCACTTGAACCCAAGACTTGGAGATTGCTGTGAGCTATGATGCCATGGCACTCTATGTAGGGTGACAAAGTGAGACTCTGTCTCAAAAAAAAAGGGGGGGGGTCATGTTTGATACAGAACATTTCCATAGCCATGCTAAAAGCCCAATTCCTAAATAATGAGAATAGTAGGGGTCTTCCTTCTTATCACTTCCCAGTCTGTCAGAAAAGATGATTTCATGTGTGAGATTGGCTTAGTGGGAACACAGCCTTACATATGTGGTATGGGAAAGAGAAGGCACAATTTTTCTAAATTGGTGTGGAAAATTCTAAATCTGGGCAGCAGAAAGAAGTAAGAGGGATTCTGATTAAAGTAGCAGTATCCTGGATACTTTGGTTCATAACAGCAAGCTTTACAGAACAGGGTATATTAAAAATCTATCTTTGGAGGTTTTCCTTCTGTCTCTCGCTCTGTCAATAATTAAATTTAAGTGCACGGGGATAATTTTTATTTCTTTCACAGCATATCTCTTAATATTCTCTGAACAATTTTACCTTAATTTAAGAACGGAATATTTGAAATAACAGTTCAAAATTGTAGATTAGAAGCCAATACATTTGTGAAATGGAGCTTTGCTCAGTGACCAGATAAGTCATTGAGAAAGCTATAAAGTCAGGGTGCCTAAGCTGGTTCTGCTATTTACAGTTTTAATTTCTTAGCATTGGGGAACGAAAGCTATTGTATTTAGGGAATTGTTTTGTATACACATTTTAATATTTATTTAAAATTAATTTCAGATTCTTTTAGTGACCACTATACTCACTTTGAAAGAGTTGTGAAGGCTCTTCTGATCAATGCTTTAGATGAATCTTTTCTGGGAACATTGTATGGTAAGTTAATGGTATGAACCTAGCAATTTTGTTTTTATTCTCTTTATAGTTTTAAACAGTTCCACTTTTAAAACCATATATATTAAACAAAACCAAGGAGAACCATTTTTAAGGCCTCCGAATTGTTCCCTCTAGGATTAACTACACCAAAACTCCATTCATATAAAATGCTTGTTGGTGTTGATTATTTGAGTTTCTAAGAGCTCCTTGCCTTTGGAGGGTTCACAGTGGATTTAAGGTTGTAAGACATGTATTCATAAACAGCAGGTGCCTCAACACTCATGTGCCCTGCCAACATCCCTATGTGCTCTTTGAATTGCACTAAAAGATACATGTGGTTTTATTGTGTTATGTCTTTGTGCCTTTACTCATATTGTTTCTTTGTAGAATTCCTTTTTGAGCCATATTTTTTAGGTGAGTAGAAAAAAACTATGAAAGCTATGTCCTACTCAAGTAGTATTTATCACTCTCATTTGTGCCACCACCATCATGAGTCTGGTGATACTCATATATATTATGTACTTTTCATATTATATTGAAAATGTGTTTTTGGTTTCCTCTTTTACCATAATGTAGGAAGAATATACACATATATTAATACATATACACTATCATGCATTTAGCACAGAATCTGGCATTTAGCAAATTACAGATACATCATGTTTGAATACCTATCTCAGTGCCAAATAACATTTCATTTATGAATTATTGAACAGATATTTATTGAATGCCTGTGATAGGCAAGGCATTATTTGAGAGCTGGAAAGACAACAGTAACTTAAGACATAGGAGATTCTTGGCTTCATGTTATGTGAAGCCTAATGAGAGAGACAGACAATGAGTTAATAAACATAGAGTATAATATGATTTCAACTAGAGAGTAGTTCCTGTAACAAAGAATAAAACAGGGTAAGGAGAGAGAATAAGAGAAAGTAAATGTCTATTATTGTATGTTAAATTGATCAAAGAAGGTCTCTCAAGAGGTAACTTTTAAACAGAAATAAGATGAGAGAGGAAGGCATGACTCTAGCAAAGGGCACCACTATTGCTACAACCCTTTGGAGAGAATACATTTGGTGTTCAAGAGCAACTAGAATAGGCCCCTGTGGTGGAATTAGACAGGAGAGTGGGAGAACACAGGAGGAAAAGTCAGGGCCTGAACTCTAGTTCAGAGGACTAGTCAGGGGCCTGAAGGGCTTTGTAAGCCATAGTAAGGTGTTCGAATTTGTTATGATTTAAGGAAACATGATAGGCCAGGAGTGATGGCAGCTCGTGCTTGTAAGCCTAGCGCTCTGGGAGGCCGAGGTGGGTGGATTGCTTGAACTCAGGAGTTCCAGATGAGCCTGAACAAGAGCAAAACCCTGTCTCTAAAGATAGAAAAGTTAGCTGAGTGTCCTGGCAGGTTCCTGTAGTCCCAGCAACTTGAAGGCTGAGGCAGGAGGATCTCTAGAGCCCAGAAGTTTGAAGTTGCAGTGAGCTACAATATCTTACCACTCTAGCCTGGACAAAAAAACTGTCTTTTTCTTCTATCAAAAAAACAAACAAAAACCATGATACATTTATTAGCTGGATTCTGTAAGAAAACTTTAAGGCAGGAAAACAAAGCTTCAGTTTACAGACTAAGGCAGATATGTATAAACAGAGAATATAATGTAAGCCAAACCAGGAAGGCAGAAATAAGTATACCATGTAAAAGGGGCAAAGCAAAGGATCTTACCAGAGAGCAGCTAGATCTGACCTGTTGAATCAGGCAGAAAGGCGAGTGCAGAGACCAGTTCTGCTCAGAGTTTGAGCTTTCTTTGGAATTCAGTGGATAATCTATGTTAGTTTTGTACCATGTATAAAAAGAAGAATTAGGCAAGCTTTTCATGTGGCTCTTTTTGTTAGAAGAAAATAATGTTGAAGCATGACACAACTATAGTCTTTTACTGTTTTCTTTAATATTCTGATAGAGTGATTTTTTAGACTTCATTAATTTATTTTCTAGTTTAAAATGCTTTCAATCAACCAACCAACCAACATCCTAAACTATGAGAAGAGATTCTTAAATACTGTTTAACTATTTCATATGGATAAAATGATTTTGTCATTAATCCCTGAACAGATGGCACTAGGCAAAAATCATATGCCCAAGATATGTTGACATCTCTTCATTATTTGGATAACCGCTTTGTTCAGCCTCGTCTAGAGAGTTTAGCTTCTAGAAGTCGTTGGAAAGAGCAATATAAGGTATATGGTTTGTTTTTGAATCTTTGGTGGGGGTTTAGGGACAGTGGACCTCTCAGGATTGCAATGTAAAAATCAGATTGAATGAACTTCTAAATATGGAGATTTGTTAAATAATCTGCTTATTATTTCTCACCTCTTCTACAAGCTATTGTTTTAACCTTCCACATTAACCATATCTAATAATTATTAAGTGGTTCTGAATGACAAATAACTTCTAAAAATCTCCAGTGCATAGCCTATTTTTTAAAATGAGATTAGCGGCTCGGCGCCTATAGCTCAACCGGCTAAGGCGCCAGCCATGTACACCTAAGGTGGCGGGTTCGAATCCCCAGCCCGGGCCCGCCAACAACAATGACGGCTGCAACCAAAAAATAGCCGGGCGTTGTGGCGGGCGCCTGTGGTCCCAGCTACTTGGGAGGCGGAGGCAGGAGACTCGCTAGAGCCCAGGAGTTGGAGGTTGCTGTGAGCTGTAATGCCATGGCACTCTACCCAGGGGGACAGCTTGAGGCTCTGTCTCAAAAAAAAAAAAAAAAAAAAAAATGAGATTAGCTTTCAAAATGTTACTTGTTTCAGAAAAGAAAGTTTCATAGCCAAAGAAATTTGGCTGAGTTGAGTTTAGTTTCTTTACTGGAAGACTTTCAGGAGCATTAATATATAAATTTAAACAGTAAATACACAAGAGGGGGATATAGAATTACAGTACTTGCTTTACCTATCTTCTATAGGATAAGGCTCTTTTTCATGAAATACTTATTGCTTTCTAAGATGTTTGATTTCTATAAAATATTGTTTGGGAAATACTAGCCTAAATAGCATTGGACATTCTTTCTTGTCTACCTTAAGATCTTGTAATTCTACCAATTTGGAGAAGCACCTTTTTAATTTATAAGATTTACAAGATTCCATTGTATCCTCTAGATTTCTGATCATGTCTCTAATAGTAGAGGATACATATGTGATTTTTAAGATTCCCTCCCTACTTCTAACATTCTATGTTCTAATGATTAGCAAGAGGAAGAGTGAAAAAAATAATAGAAGTTTTAGCTCATTAAAATCATTCAAGTGCTAAATCATTAGCTTTTCTACTTCACTGCTAAGATTTCATCCAAGGTCTGTTCATCCTTGGATTATCTGTTGATAAATTAGCTGATGAAATAACCTGTGGGACCTGGAAAAAATAAACTTGGACCCACTTAGTTGCAAATAATTGGTGATTTATTCACACCTACGCAGGGACTGTTGTTCTGGGACAAGTGGCCCCAAAGTGCAGCGTTTTTCATCTTTCATACTATTTTTTCTGTGTACAAGGAACATTGCCATTGGCAGGGTTATAGCTTGGTTGTCAGTGGATACATCTCAAATTACAATGGTTATGATTATATAACAATAATTAATCAGTGGATACACCTTAAATCACAATGGTTAAAGGGGGACGGGGGGGATAGTAGCTTGCCCCTAGGGCGGAGAGGAGTGGGGCCCGTAGGGTGGGGGAATGGGAGAAGGCAGGGGGAACGGGGAAACAGAGGCTCACAACACCATCAAGGGTTATGTTTAAGAGACCTTTGTAGAGTTAGGAAAAGAATTATAGAACTTAACATTGGAGAGTGGTTTAAGTTTAGGGCTACCATATCTCTCTTTTTGACATTAGGTAAGTTTTTAACTTCCCTGAATCTCAATTTCTTCCTCACATCCAGAGAAGATTTACCCATTTAAAGGGAAATACCGTATTTACTTTCTTCGAGGATAAGTAGATCTTACAACATATCATTATTATTGTTTTCTTTAAAAGAAATAAAAATAGCTTATAGAAGCAAGCCTTGTTTTATTGTGCTTAACTTTATTGCACTTAGCAGTTACCATATTTTTTTTTTGAGACAGAGTGTTACTATGTCACCATGGTGAGTAGAGGGCCATGGTGTCACGGCTCTCAGCAACCTCAAACTCTTGGGCTTAAGTGATGCTCTTGCCTCAGTCCCCAAGTAGCTGGGACTATAGGCGCTTGCCACAACAACTGGCTATTTTTTCGTTGTAGTTGTCATTGTTGTTTGACAGGCCCAGGCTGGATTCAAACCCACCAGCTCCTGGTGTACGTGGCCAGTGCCCTAGCTGCTGAGCCACAGGCACAGAGACAACAGTTACCACATTTTTTGCAAATTTAGTTTGTAGCAACTTTGCTTCAAGCAAAGATGTTAACACTGCCATTTTGCCAACCACATATACTCACTCTGTGTCTCCATGTCACATTTTGGTAATTCTCACATACCTAAACCTTTTCCATTATTGTATCTGTTACAGTATATAACAGATCTAATAGAATATATGCTATAACAGACATAACAGTATAGTGATCTTTGATATTAGTAATGTAATTTGTGGTGCCACAAACTACGCCCTTATAAGAGAGTGAACATAATTGACAAATGTTGAGTACGTTGACTACTCTACCAACTGCCTGTTCCTCCTCAGGCTTTCCTGCTCTCTGAGATAGAACAATATTGAAATTAGGCCAATTCATAATCTTCAAGTTGCCTCCCAGTGTTAACTTCAAAGGAAAAGTCATATATCTCTCACTTTAAATCAAAAGGTAGAAAAGATTTAGCTTTTTGAGGAAAGCATGTCAAAAGCTGAGACAGGCTGAAAGCTAGACCTATTTGCCAGTTAGCCAAGTTGTAAATGCAAAGGAAAGTTCTTAAAGGCACTTAAAAGTGCTACCAATGATAAAATAGTGAAACAGACTTATTGCTGATATGAATAAAGTTTTGGTGGCCTGGATAGAAGATCAAACCAGCCATAACATCCCCTTAAGCCAAAGAAAGGCTAATCCAGAGCATGGCCCCAATTCTTTTCAGTTCTATGAGTATTGACAGAGGAGAAGAAGCTGCAGAAAAAAAATGTTTGAAGCTAGCAGAGATTGGCTCATGAGGTTCAAGGAAAGAAGCTGTCTTCATAAAAGTGTTAGGTGAAACAGCAAGTACTTATGTAGAAGTTGCAGCAGTGTGTTTGAAAGATCTAGCTGAGTTCATTGATGAAGGTGGCTGCACTAAACTGTATTTTCAACATAGATGAAAAAAGAGTTTTCTATTAGAAGAGACATCTTGGAGTTTTATAGCTAGGGAAAAGTCAATGCCTGGCTGCAGCACTTCAGAGGACAGGATGGTTCTCTTGTGAAGAACTAATGTAGCTGAGAACTTTCAGGTTGAAGTCAGTGCTCATCTATCATTTCAAAATCTTAGTGTTGTTAAGAACTTTGCTAAATTGAGGGGCAGGTGCAGTGGCTCACGCTTTAATCCCAGTGTGAGCCTAGCGTGGATTACTTGAGCTCATGAGTTCGAGACTAGCCTGAGCAAGAGCGAGACCCCCTCATCTCAAAAAAAAAAAAAAATAGTTAGCGGTTGTGGCAGGCACCTGTAGTTCTAGCTACTCGGGAGGCTGAAGCAGGTGAATTGCTTGAGCCAGGGAGTTTGAGGTTGCTGTGAGCTATGATACCACACCACAGCACTCCACCCAGGGTGACAAAGTGACACTTTGCTTCCAAAAAAAGAATTATGCTAAACTGACTTTTCCTGTGTTCTATATCCAAAACTACAAAGTCTAGATGATAGCACATCTGTTTACAGCTTGGTATACTGAATATTTTAAGCCCACTGTTGAGACCTACTAGTCAAAAATAGATTCCTTTCAAATACTACTGTTCTTTGATAATATATTTGGTCACCCAAGAGCTCTGATAGAGATAGGCAGTGAGACTAATGTTATATATGCATATCCATGCCTGTAATACATGAATTCAGCAACCCATAGATCAAGGAGTTATTTAAACTTTTAAGTATTATTTTTTAGGAAACAATTTTTTTAAGGCTATAGGTAACATAGTGATTCCTCTGATGGATCTGGGCAAAGTAGATTAAAAACCTTTGGAAGGGATTCACCATTCTAGATGCCATTAAGAACACCTGTTATTTGGGGAGGAAGTCAAAATATCAACATCAGTGGGAGTTTGGAGAAAGTTCTTTCCAATCCTCATGATGACTTTGAGACATCCAACACGTCAGTGAAGGAACAGCTGCGTATGTGGTAGAAATAGCAAGAGAATAGAAGTGGAGCCTGGAGAGGTGACGGAATTGGTCACTCTCACCTTACTACTTTAGCAGCTAAGCGGTCACTTCTATAGATGAGCAAAGAAAGACACTTTGAGGGATGGAATTTGCTTCTAGTAAAGAAGCTGTGAATGGTGTTGAAAGAACAAAGGACGTAGAATATTACATCCACTTAGTTGATAAGGCAGTGGCAGGATTTGAGAGGACGGACTCTAATTATGAAAGAAGTTCTACTTTTGGTAAAATGCTGCCAAACAGTATCACAGGCTATTGAGAAACTTTTTGTGAAAAGAAGAGTCATTTGATGTAGCAAACCTTATGTTGTCTTACTGTAAGGAATTGCCACAGCCCCCCCAGCCTTTAGCAGCCACTCCCTGGTCAGTCAGTAGACAGCAACACCAAAGCAAGACTCTGTACCAGCAAAAAGATGACAACTTAGTAAGGCCGTAGATGAGTATTAGCATTTTCTAGCAGTAAAGATTTTTTAAATTCAGGCATATACTTTTTTTTTAGACATAACGCATAATATAGTATAAATATACCTTTTACATACAATGGGGAAAAATTTGTGTGCCTCACATTTTTGCTATATTGGCTTACTGATGATGGCCTGGAACCAAACCCACAGTATCTCTGAAGTATCTTATTTAATAGTATCTTATTTAATCTTCCAAGTAACCTCATGAAGAAGACACTATTATTTCCTCCATTTCAGAATTGAGGAAATTCTAACTTACAAAAATTAAGGAATAAGATTTGGGAGTCAGTAATTAGACAGGCGTATTTAAACCTGGAGTCTATTGGACTCGAACATGCATGCCTTTATGCTATACTACACTTTACCCTACTATGCTAGATGATACTGAATTTGGACAACCCGATGTTGAAACTGTAATCGTAAAAAAGTTAGCTGAAAAATTTAGGGACACGGATGATTTAGTAAGATCTTAAGCGAGGTTATACTGCAAAAGTTAAATAATATGACAAACAAACAAAAAGAAAACTTCTGGTAACTTAATCCCATACACTGACAGTGTCCTGTCCTGTATAAATATACAGCAGTGTCTCTTTTTGCCTATTTATCCAGGGTAAGTTGACAGGGTGCTCTGCTCATTGTAGTCACTCAGGGAACCAGGCTGAGAGTATTTTTCTTAGGGGTTTCATCTTACCATGTGTTTCCATGACCACCACAGGACTAGGAAGGGAAAGTGGTTAGTCACGCATTCAGTCTCAACTGTAGCCTGTGACACATTTCACCAAGTTCCATGAAGTCTGAGAAACATGAAGAAGTAGACCAAAAAAATGTTGTTTCAAATCATACAGTCACTGTAAACAGGAGACTGTCAGTGTATTGGATTGAGTGAATTACCACCAGACTGGTCTGGAAGTAGATGTGAATGTGCATTAATAACCATGCCAGTACCCTCACTGTGTACAGTTCACACTGTGGTAAAACCTGATTAGCTGATCAGCACAGTGGTGTCTGGCACAGACCTAGACCCTGAGCATAAACACTCCAGCACAACTCATTCCACAGATCGACAAAGCTTTGCTATGAATGCAAACTATTTTCTTAGTTTCTTTTCTCATTGACAGCTGAGCTATTAGACTACCCACACGAATACTAGAACATTTAGCAATTCTACGTTCAATTTGTGCATTTTCACAGGAGTATAGCAAGTACTGACAAGAGGATTAACTTATTTCTGGAATATTGTGTGGAAAATATGATGATATATATAATGGAGAATTTTTTTTTCTCAATTTTTAAGTACCCTAAATGAACTTTTTCGTACGTTATTCTGAATTTTTGCTGTTCATTTTTCACACCAACTAGAGATGAGAAGATGGAAGTCAGTTAAAATCTATCAAGAACACTCTTTAGCAGCTCCTACATGTGAGAGATATGAAACTAATTTTCATTTCAAGTCTGATTTTTCATTTAATAGCCAAAACTGTACATTTAGTTTTTATATTTAAAAATATCTTGTCAAATACGTACCGTGTGCTGAGTATTAAAGTGAAAAATGCCTGGATGTTCTGCTCTCATATCTCAGTGTGATTCCTAAAAAAAGTTTTAATTTGATTGGATTTTTATTATTTTTCTTTTAAACCTTATTATATTTTTAAATTGTTTTCAGGAACGGGTAGAAAATTATTCTAATGTAAGTATCCGTTGGAAGAATCCTGAAAACTGTTCCTGCCAGGCTTGTGGATTGCATCGCTACTGTAGATATTCAGTGCATTTATCAGGAAAGTTGTATAACACCAGAACCATGGAAACAGATGATTTCATGTCACATGATAAACAGGTATTTTTCCCTCTCATTTTAGTTTACAGTATTTAGAAATTTTTAGTTCATAAATGTGTACAAATAACTCTAAGAAATGGTTACAAATGGAGAAAACACCAGAGGAAAGGGAAGGAATACAAGGAAAGTTATAATTTTTGAATGTGAAAAAGATGTCTTATATAGCATCTACTTTCCTAATTCAGTGAGATAATAAAGTCAGTAAATATTCCCTAAGTCCATATTACCCACCTTAGGGAGGATGAGGGTGAGAGTACAGAATGGGAGTGACAGAGATAACACAAAGGCACAGGGACACAGGCCTCCTTGGTGTTCAAAAGAGAATTTGATCCCAGTGGAAACTCTTCTGGCAGATAAGCCATCAAGTTGGCTAAATAATAGAAGACGGCTGTCTATCCTAATATGAGAGAATTCAGAGAACACTGTGCTTCAACCTAGACCATGTTAGAAGTATGTCAGAATCTCTCCAGCAATCTCCCTACATGTTTAAGATGCTGTTAATTTGGAGGCACCTGTGGCTTAGTGGGCAGGGCGCCAGCCCCGTATGCCAAAGGTGGCAGGTTCAAACCCAGCCCGGCCAAACTGTGACAACAACAAAAGATGCTGTTAATTCTGAACAAACAGACAAAACTGGAGAAGAAGTATTTGATAGACAGTGCAGAGAAGGACAATGTCAGGGTCTGGGACTGGCCAGGTCTTGGGCCCAGCTTAGGTAGGCTCTGGACACGGACCACTAAGCTACCTTGCTCAGGAACAGTTTCTCGTAGGTGCTTGAGGGCTATCTACTTTAGCTGGAGAGAGAGAGACAGTATCTTAGAGAGAGTAAAGGTCTTCTTAGAACAGATAGCTCTTAGTCTTTAGCAGAGCTTGGTAATCTTCAGCAGAGACGCCATGCTGGTATTCTGCAGGCAGGAGAGGAGACAGAGTCAGAGTAAGTGGATCCGTGATAGAACGCACATGCTCCTGACTGCCTTCTCCTCCAGCCTACTATAAGGCTGAGCTCGTGCCTCTCAACACCACAGGTGTAGAGACTGCCAATTCACCGCTGCTCTCATCTCACGAGCTCACTCGTGCTTGTTAGAACCAAATCTCTCTCCATGCCCTTTTCACCAAGGTGTTCCATTACAGGTATTTCTTATAACTCTCACTCCTCTTAGCCATAGGCCATACGGGCTGCTACAGAACAATATGAAGTAATAAAAAGTGCAAATATTGACTACTTACTTTTTAAATCTTTATAAGAATGCTCTATTTATAAATGCAAAAATATTAATATTGAGAACTTCCACTGGTTAATGTGCATATTCATGAAGGGTATGTATGATTGGAGAGGTAATTAGAGACCTAAAGTTGTCTCTAAACCCTTCCAGTCTATTAAGATGGAAATATTTGTTTGAATTATTCAACTGAATTGGATAGTATGACTCCTTCATACTATTGGGCAGTAATTGACCAGATCTCTCTGAGCAGTCTGGGTTGCAAGAATCATTTAGGAAGTTTGTATAGGGGCAGTGAATTGAGAATTTATCTTTAATGTTTTGTTTGGCAAGTTATTATAAAATATAAATAAAGTGTATGAAAAATAGAAAAATATGTTTCTATCCTCATCATAGCCATAGAAAATTTCCTCATTATTTAAATCCTGATACTTTGAATCCTAGCAAAAATGATTTAATAAATTAAAGACCATGTTATGTTGCATAAATCAAGTATATGTGTGTATATATGTCATTTTTTTTTTTTAATAGAGTCTCACTTTGTCACCTCTAGTAGAGTGCGGTGGCATCGTAGCTCACGGCAACCTCAAACTCTTGAGCTCAAGAGATCCTCTTGCCTCAGCCTCCCAAGTTCTAGGACTACAGGTGCCTACCACAATGCCTGGCTATTTTTAGAGACAGGGTCTCACTCTTGCTCAGGTCTTGAACTCAATGAGCTCAAGTGGTCTGCCCTCCTTGGCCTCCCAGAGTGCTAGGATTACAGGCGTGAGCCACTGCACCTGGCCCTTAAATCAAATATATTGTTGTACATTCTTGGTCTTTGATGTCTACAGCTAATTCTGAAGAAGGAAATGAAGTTATAAAACCATTTTTAGAGTTCTGACATTCCTGTGAAGGAATAAAGATTCAATATAAAATGGCTGACTCAAATATCTAAAAAAATAGGAGAGATCTCATGAAATAAAAGCAAAGAATAGTAATATGCCAACACACAGTAGAAAAATACAAAACTTGAGGAATATATGGAAAAATCCTTTTTCTCCATGTGAAGACATACAATTAAAATTAACTTAAGCGCTAGGCATAGGGGCTCATGCCTGTAATCCTAGCACTGGGAGGCCACGGTGGGAGGATCCCTTGAGCTCAGAAGTTCAAGACCAGCCTGCTCAAGAACGAGACCCCTATCTCTACTAAAAAAAAAAAATATTAGCTGGGCCTTGTGGTTGGCTCTTGTAGTTCCAGCTACTTGGGAGGCTAAGGCAGGAGGATTGCTTAAACCCAGGAGTCTGGCATACTAGTCTGGGCAACAGAATGAGACTCAGTCTCAAAAAAATAAATAGGTATCTTAAGATGCAAATTGATAGGTATTAAAGTAGCAAAATATTCTCAAATAAAATGATAAAATGTAATGCCATCAGTGTTGCGCTGAAACTGTTAAGTTCATGGAAAGTAAGATTCCTAGAGGAAGAAAGGATATAATACATCTGTTTTAAATGCCGGATAGCCACATATAGCCAGAATCACAAAGCTATACATATGTAGTGGCTGTAAATTTATCCTGTGCAATTCAGTAAAAGGCAATGACATAGTGCTCGCTTTAGCAGCACATATATGAAAATCGGAACAATACAGAGAAGATTAGCATAGCCCATGGGAAAGGATGGCATGCAAATTCGTGAAGCATTCCATAGTTTTTAAATCATTTTATCATAAGGACATTTGCACTAGATTGTGTATAGCAGCTCCATTCACAATCGTCAAGATACAAATACAACCTAAGTGCCCATGAGCCCGTTCATGGATTAACAAACCATGGTGTATATATACACCATGGAATACTATTCAGCCATTAAGAAAGATGGGGACTTTACGTCTTTTGTATTAACCTGGGTGGAGGTGAAACACATTCTTCTTAGTAAAGTAGATGATCTAATACATTCCCGCACAAAGGAAAAACTGAATTCAATTCAAGTTGAGTAGAAGGAGGAAGAAGTGAGGGAGGATAGAGGAGCACAGAGGGGCTTGGTGTACTCCCACACAGTGTGAGGGGATAATATACGGCTCACCTGGGCGTGGGACACAATTACAACAGGGACTTGACCTAACAAATGCAAACACTGTAACCTAGTAGTTTGTACCCTCATTAATCTGGGAAAAAAAGCCAATAACAATCATACAGTTTGTTGAAGCATTATTTGTAATACAAAAAAGTAGAAGTAATCCAAATATTAGGATAGTGATTTAATAGCCTATAGTATATTAGCATTATGTGATGTAATTTAGATAACTGTTAAAATGTTACGAAGATTATGAAATAATGCTAGGTGAAAGTGAAATAATGCTGTTGTTGCATATAGGAATATGTGTATATAGCTATTTGCAAGCAGTAACCTAGTTATTGTGTTAAAAGAATGGGGGCTGGCCACAGTGGCTGATGCCCATAATCCTAGGACTTTGGGAGGCTAAGGTGGGAGGATCACTTGAGCTCAGGAGTTTGAGACCAGGCTGGACAACAGTGAGACCCTGTCTCCACAAAAACAAAATTTTTTTTAATCAGCCAGGTATGATTGCACATGACTATAGTCCTAGCTAGGAGGCTCATTGGGGAGTATCACTTGAGCCCAGGAATCCAAGGCTACAGTGAGCTATGATCACACTACTGTACTCCAACCTCGGTGATAGAGTAAGACCTTGTCTCTAAAATTAAAATTAGAAATAAAGTTAAAAGTACAAAGGAATATGATTGAAATCCTTTAATATGAAATTGTTTTCTGTCAGGATCTGCTTCTGATACCACTTGTTAGGGCTCAGGATTGGCCAGGTCTCAGGCCCAGCTTAGGTAGGTTCCGGACACGGACCACTAAGGTACCTTGCTCAGGAATAGTTTCTCTTAGGTGCTTGAGGGCTATCTACTTTAGCTGGAGAGAGAGAGAGAGTGTGTGTCTTAGAGGGAGTAAAGCAGTCTTCTTAGAACAGATAGATCTTAGTCTTTAGCAGAACTTGATAATCTTCAGCAGAGAGACGCTGTGCTGGCGTTCTGCAGGCAGGAGAGGAGACAGAGTCAGAATAAGTGTGTCCGTGATAGAACGCGCATGTTTTGACTGCCTTCTCCTCCAGCCTACTATAAGGCTGAGCTCGTGCCTCTCAACACCACAGGTGTAGAGACTGCCAATTCACCAATGTTCTCATCTTGCGAGCTCTCTCATGGTAGTTAGAACCAAATCTCTCTCCATGCCCTTTCCACCAAGGTGTTCCATTACAGATATTTCCTGTAACTCTCACTCCTCCTAGCCTTAGGCTATACGGGCTGCTACATTTCCCCCCCTTTTTATACACAAACAAAATTTTTAGTGTGGTAAGGGCGGTTCTTCCTGTTATCTAGCCCTTTTCTTTCTAGGCAAAAGATGGTAATTATCAGAGTTCAGAATTCCAGGTATGGGCTCTTTAAATGAGGAAGCCCAATACAACTGTAAACTATTAGCCACTGCTAGGGGAAAATGATCATTGTGATGTTAATTTTCTTAAAGGTCTTTTTAAAAGGAGAAAACTGCGAAATCTTGGCTGAGAGAATTTACCATTTCTTTAACTGTAGGAACTTTTTTTTGATATTTACTTAACGAAGGAACAAAAGATAACGCTTTCTTTGCAATCTTTGCAAGCAGAGGATTTTCCTCTAGCTATTCCAAAGGTTTTGCTACTCGAGGTACTGAAATCCACCCTTCACAGATCGCAAAAGACTGTTACTCGTGGATTAATGGTTCCACACTTGGCAGTTCCTCTCATGGAACTGTTACTCGTGGTCCAAGAAGTACCACCCTTCACAATTCCTTGATAGCAGTTTTTCCTGCTTTCAAGCTGCTTTTCCAGCGAAATTTTTGCTAATTGATTCCAGACTTTTTTTCAAATGGAGTTTCCTAGCACAGAGGTGGTTTAACTTGTACTCTTCCCTCCCTTTGTTCTCACCTCTCATAATCTTCCAAAGGCTTCACTTGCTTCTGAGTGACACTTCCTCTTTGGGCCGTGTCCAGTCTCCTTAGCTGGACCCGGTTGTAGTGTACAGACACTGATGAGAGGAGGTCTGTTACCCCTTCACCACGCAGGATAACCTAATATTCCACAAACATATTTAATCTAATTATTCTCCATTGTCATCCATTGGTCTGATTTCCCGTTTTACACTAAGGCACCACAGGTCTAACCAAGCTGGCAGAGTGCTCCCAGGGCATAGAATTGAATTATACTGTTTTTTCTGAGAATGGTTTGAAATGAAAATATTAAACTGTTTTTTCTTTCATTTACCAGTGGGCCTTGATTCTGGCCCAACTGATAATTTCCCTACAATAAAGGTATTCCATCTCTATCAAATTGATAATGGCATTTGAAATGAAAGCCTTATTTTACACTTGGGACACACACCTGGAGGTTTACACGCTTTTTGTTCCTTTTCTTTAGCATTCAGCGTTCTTTTCCCTTTTAAACTCTTTTCTCTTATGGCCCAGCTTCCCATACTTGTGGCATTTGATGTTAACTGGGGGATTTACCCTCTGATCTTCCAGCTGCGTTTACCTGCTTTAAAGATTATTCATCTGATCTCTCAGCTGTTTTATATCAGCTGCCATGATATTAATTTCGTCTTTAAGCTGTTTCACCTGACACTTCAACTGCTGTATCTCATTTTCCATGATTTTTCTGACTTTCTTTCGGCCTTCTACTTTCTTTCCTTTTCAATTCTTAGAACCTTTGGCTGCTTACGGGAGCTCTTTAGCTGTTCTTTTTACTCTGGAGTCTTAGTTGTTCCACAAACTTTACTTCCTCTATTTCTTCACCAGCCTCAATCTACCTCAATTCTTTTCTTTTTAAACAGAACTCTTAACTGCCAAAAAGGGAATCAGGTGTCGTTCTCTCAAAAGCTACTTCCTGCTGGCATTGGGTGAAGGTATTAGGGGAAGGCAGTTAGAAGTTCTCTTCCCTACCTTAATAAACTCTTGCAACCTATTCCCAGACTTTGCTCTTTGCTGTTTTACCCAAGACTTTTCTCACCCCGAGGCTAAAGGCTTGTTTACTGAGGGTTCTTATCTCCTAGTTCTATCTTTTCTCTTTCCCTCTTGTTTAAAGGCTTTTTTCTCCAGCCACTTCACAGAAGAGGCTAAAGGCTTTTTTCCCCACATAAGTAGTAGTTAGAATTTGGATAGAGAAAACGTAGGAAAGAGGAAAAACCGAATGAAAAAGGCCTGCGGTTGGCTGTCTTTCTTAGATATTTCTCTTCTCTTTTTCTTACTTTGTTAAAGCTTATTTCCCTCTCAGTCCACATTCAGTGAATCCTGCTCACAGCACCATTTGTCAGTGGCGTTCACTATCCTGCTTCTGACACCACTTGTCAGGGCCCAGGACTGGCCAGGTCTCAGCCCGGCTTAGGTAGGTTCTGGATGCGGACCGCTAAGCTACCTTGCTCAGGAACAGTTTCTCTTAGGTGCCTGAGGGCTATCTACTTTAGCTGGAGAGAGAGAAGAGTCTTAGAGAGAGTAAAGCAGTCTTCTTAGAACAGATATATCTTAGTCTTTAGCAGAACTTGGTAATCTTCGGTAGAGACGCCGTGCTGGCGCTCTGCAGGCAGGAGAGGAGACAGAGTCAGAGTAAGTGGATCCATGATAGAATGCGCATGCTCCTGACTGCCTTCTCCTCCAGCCTACTATAAGGCTGAGCTCGTGCCTCTCAACACCACAGGTGTAGAGACTGCCAATTCACCGCTGCTCTCATCTCACGAGCTCACTCGTGCTTGTTAGAACCAAATCTCTCTCCATGCCCTTTTCACCAAGGTGTGACAGGTATTTCCTATAACTCTCACTCCTCCTAGCCATACGCTATATGGACTGCTACAGTTTTCTAAGTAATTTTTTCTTTAATAAGAATAACTTATTAAAATCTATTTTATATCCTACTGAACTCCAGTGTCAATCAATGCATGTATGCAAATAGACCCATTTATAATCCACAGCATAAAATAAACTGTGCCTAACCCTAGAGCCACCCTAAGATAATTTTGAAAATGAATTCTTCATTTTGTGTTGCTTCTTATAGGTACATAAAATTGAGACTCTTTAGGATTAATTAGTGTTCTTTTTGAAGGTGCAAATGATACTTTAAAAGAGTTCACTTAACAGCGAGTTTAATTAATGACAAAACTTTTCTTTTTACTTACCTGAAATTAACTACTTGAAGGAAGGCTGCTTTGATGGATGGAGAGTAGAATTTGTGGGAGAGAGTAACTTAGTTATGGCAGTGATGGGTGGGAGCTGAGGTGAAGTGTGGCCTTATGCTGGTGAAATTGGAGGGCATGCATGAGAAGGAAGCTACCCAGCAGAAGGAGAGGTGTGAAATCTGAAGGGCAGGAGGGGAACTATAAACAATCTTGAATTAATTTTCAATTTTACCTAGAGTCTGTCCAGACTCCATGAGTGCGTTAAGATCTGGTGGGAAGAAATGGGAAAAAAACAGACCAAGGGAAATAGAATCTTTTGGCTTGGGGCATTGCATTGTTTCTGGAAGCCTAGACATGAAAAAGAAGCTTCTCAGACTTCCTTTTCTGCAGAGAATCTTGTTTCCTTGTTCTTCATACTCGGACTTCTGTGAGGAGCTGGTTCCTCTGCATATAAGTGTGAACCTAGAAAAACACTTGGAGAAGTGTATAGTTGGCTGGATATGACCAGGTCTGCATCACACTTGTTTGATTGATCTCCTTGCCTTGGTTTGTTAGCCACAGTGTTAATTTACATTTCCACATGATCTATCAAATAAGTCACAAATCAGATTCTTTGTACTGCTTTGCAGTTCATTGTCTGCTTAAAAAAATTTGGTGACAATTTTTAGCTCTGTTTCCAGTCTCTGTATAAGTACAGTCATTTGGTTCATGCTAATAACTGGAGTGACTCAGTTATTCTCATGTTTATCAGTTCCTAGAACTATGCTAATTCATTCTACATGGTGGACCAGTAATTATTTATATGTCGTCTTGCTTATCTGGCTTATGAACATTCACCATTTATTTCTATCTCAGGCAATTTTTTTGATATCGTCTTTCTTATTAGAATAGTTTCCTTACTATAGAGAAATTCAATTAATTAGAAGCTGTTTCTGAGAACATTTCTGTACATTTAATGAAACTATTCTAACAGTGTATATTAATTTTACCTGTTTTAGTACTTTATATAAATGGATCCTACAATTTGTAACCTGTGTTGTACTATATACATCAGTTCATATGGTGAAGAAGTATAATGGGCTGTAATAATATACTAAAAAGGGGTCAGGGTGAGGGGACAAGTCCACTTGGAGAATTGCACCTATTGCATGATGTACTGTTTTCTATTAAGCCCTACATCACTGGGCTCTTCCAATTAAGGATTTTTAAATACCTCGCCTTCCCTCTGGTTCTAACTTAAACATTCTGTACAGATAAATTTCACTTGTTTTTGTGGAAATAAAGAACATGTGCTAGAAATACAAATCATGTTTTTCTGTGACTATATTTTATCCAGAATAGCTACCACAGCACTCTACCACATAATATGCTTTCTGTGAAGGCAGACAGGACACCCCTAACACCACCACAACTACTGTGGTATCATTTCATTCAAACTAGGAGGTATTAGCAATGGTTGGAATGTCATTTACTACTAGAGCTACTTTGTTGAATTGGAAAAGCTACTTTTCATAGGCCAGCAGTGTACGATAATTCCTCATTACTTCTACTGATCTGAAAAACAGGAAGGTTTTTACACAACCACAAATAGAAATCTGAATACGCTTTTCTTAAACTTTTAGGAATTTAAAGAGAGGTTGTAAAAAGTCCCAAATACCATTTTAATACAAAAACACATCAAACCTGCCACTTGCCAATCATAGTGATATAACTTCTATTCATTTTTGGAAACATATTCTTGGTTTATCTATTGAACATCATTACTTGTGTGTCCCTTGCAGTGGTACTTCAGAAAAATAAGTACAGTTTTTGGTTAGATAGAACACAAGTTAACATAGATAAATATTAAAACGATTCCACTTTTACTACACTGTGAACGCATAACCAGTTAGTGAACTTAGGCACAGATACAAATATATATATTAGCAAGAGTTTACCTATTTCTTCAGGTTATGCCACAAGAATAAAATTGACTACATCATAATGTTTAGAGCCCCTTCTGATGCATTTTTTATGGTGAAATAGGTACATAGGTAATGTAGGTTAAAATGTGTTTAATTTGGTCAGTGCAGTGATGCGATCTTTCTGTTTCAACTGTGGGTTATATAACTTCAAGCATTTAAAATATTCTGAAAGTAAAATGTTCTGTTTGCATGATTTCACAAAAGAGTCTTCCTAATCATAGAATTTTAGAAGTCCATATAAACTTAGAAATTAAAATTCTTTTAGCTGGCTGATATTAAAATATTAAGGTGGCTTATCCTCAATATCCAACACCTTAATTAAAGTAACAAATATGCCTAAACACACAGTTACTTTTTACGTTACAAACTTGGGAGGGGATAGTATTTAGTGAAAAACTACAGAAACTTAATATTAGTGTAAGAGTTTCAGTTTCACACGATGCTTATATCTAGAAAATCACTGTAATGTAAGCATTTGTAACTCAGTGCACGTGTGTGCGCGGTACTTCACATGCTTTCTCCTATTCTCACGTGCCTGCCGTGCGTTCCTTTGTCTTTCTGCCTTCCAAGCCATTTCTCCCTTCCCAAACTTGGCTAATTTTATGTTTCAAGACTTTGTTTGAGCATCACTGACCTACAAATCTTCCTCATTTACAGATTGGGTTAATGCCCCTTCTCACTGGCGTCTGTTGCATTGTGGGTACGGTGTTTGTCATGTTGTTTTGTAATAATTTGTCTTTCTCCTACGACTCTCAGCTCCCTCACTCAGGGAGCACGTGCTTCCCTTCCCTATTTTCAGTGCCTGGCCCAATACTCGAAACATGGCAGTTGCTCAGTTGTTGACTGGTTGTATAAATGAGAGAAGGTAAAGGAATTATTGTATATGCATTTATTAGATTATACTATTATACTATACTATTATGAAAACCAGAAAGGTAGATTACTATATTTTAATTTCATATATCAATAATTAGCTTCATTTCTTGATTTAGGTATTTACTGTTGGCAGAATTTGTGCTGATCGTACCAGAATTTATCATAAACTGAAGCATTTTAAATTCAAACTGTACCAGGAATGTTGCTCAATTGCAAAGACAGAAGAAGTTGAGGATGAACAGGTTAAAGAAACAGTGGAACGAATTTTCATTCAGTCAAAAGAAAGTGGCTGGATTAAGGAGGTAAGGTGAATATATAAAAACCATCTGTAGCCTCAATGTAATCAGCGAAAGGTACAATTGGGTAGAAGATAGTGAAGTTTAGAAGAGAATTTCTTCTTCTCTCCCTGTGTTGATATTTCTCATCTTCCACCCATTTCTTTCATGCTTGTCATTGTCCTACCTGAACAGATGCCCTGATGTTCTAAGGATTCACTCAGCTCATCAGATAAATTTTAATAAGCAATAGTACTGTTTCTTAATGAAGGATCTCTATCCTTTCACCTTTACATATGTATTGCTGCGTATATATTAAGTCCCCTTATTTTCTTTGACAAAGTACAGGACTCACCTCTGCTTGTCTGCTTCCTATTCTTTAGAACAGTTCTTGTGACCTGAGAGTGAAGAAGCACCTGGTGCCAATCTGAGGAAAGGATCTCGGCTGCCAGTTCCAATACCACCCACATCCTCTTCTTGAGGACATGGGACTGAGCAGTGAGCACTGTAACTGAAGATCAAGAGGGTGCAGAGGTTTCAGGCCACGGCACTGATTTTGATCCCCCATATCCTATTGATCACTAAGTTTGATATCAGGGATAAAGTGGGGGTTTTGAAAAGTGCACTGGACTCCCGAAGCTCTGCTGGCAGCTCATAAGCTCTGGTCTGCTCACAGAGCTTTCAGAATTGTTCATGGTACATGGAAAGGGTGCCAGGACAACTGCAGTCCTCTAAAGACAGTCTAGCTACAGGAATGTGTGAGAGAGAACAAATAGTAGATTTTCAGGCAACTCAGATAAACAGGAGATTTAATCTTAAAAAAAAAAAAAAAAAAGCCTGACTTGAAATCTATTGCCTGGGTTATATCATGGAGAAATTTGTAAAAGAGGAAAATAAAAAATAAAGCAAGAGAGTGTAAAACACAAATTATAAGCAGAGTGAAATAAAAAGAAAACAAGAAAACAGGAACTTCTTAGGACCGCCACGTTGAGTGAGGGTCCCCAGTCTAGACAGTGACAGCACGCCCAGACCCCTGTCAGCAGCTGCCCTCCCGCCATAGGCCACCCAGCGATCTCGCCTCCCCCACCCCCACTTGGTCCTCAGGTTGTCTTCTTCTCATTCTACTCTCTTCAGCTCTTATCTTTTACTTTGCTTCTACTTCTATTCTAAATGCTCCCTCCACCATCCTTCTCTGCTTTACCATTTGCCTTAGGGAGGAGCTGTCACTCATCTAGTAATGCCCTTTTCATTTTCCTAGACCACATTAAATCCTTACATGGTTTTATCGATGCCTTCAAGTGTCGCTAGCCCTCTAGTGGAATGGTAAAATCTATGGGGATGCCACATTTGTGAAGAAGTGTATACTAGGTGTAGAAAAATCACTGTGCATTTATATACGTTACATAAAGCATATATGGAGAAGAATATTAAACTTTGCAGAAAAAACAAAAGGCATTTCCAAATCATATGCCTGAAAGAAAGCTTTTTTTTTTTTTTTTT